CTCGTCAGCAAAGGGTAGGTAAAACTGGAAAGAACAGGATAATTCTATTAGGGAACGAAGGAAAGTGATCCTGTTAGAGTTGTGGCAACAGGGCAAGTGTGTTACCAGGAGGGCAGCTAACTACTGATGAGGGGTGATGGCATCCTCAAATGAAAGCTCATAGCTCAGGTTAGCTCCAAGTCAGTAGTTGTGGAATAGATTTGGTTTCATTCAGCATTTCCTTCAACACAAAGAACAGAAAGTCCAGGTTCCCGACCTCTAGCTGTTCTATACATTTAAACTTTAAAGAAGCTGGATGTATCTTTTGTTTTGCATTTTCTTGGATAGGGTATAAAAAGAAAAGGAAAATGCCTTTGGTCATCGCTAAATGATTTTTCACGATAGGATAAGGACATCTGGCACTCGGTGCCCCAGACTGCAAAATTCCACGGCACAGTGTCGTTAGCTGAGACTCAAGTATCCATTCCTCCTCTCATTCCCATTCATACATGTGGAAGAAAGGCAAGAAGTGGGCTGAAATAAATAATAAAAAAAAATTGCTATTTGGTGGCTGCTGCGAAATTTAGAGAGGGTCACTTTATCTACTGCTCAGCAGCTGTTTTCATCTCCTGTTAGCCAGAAAGAAATATTATATTGTGCTGGCAGAAGCTATCAGTAGATAAGTGATGATCTGAAGAACAACAAAATTATCTGTGTACTTCATTAGCAGCTTACTATCTTACTTAAGCTTACGGAAGTCTTACGTTGCTGGCTTCTGTTCATATCACACTCTCCCCATATAGAAAACTTCATTTAGAAGCACTAATTTCTTTCACAAACAGAATTTGTAATTTTTAAGGAAAAAAAAAAGATAAAAGCCCTGTCCTGTAAAAGTGTGATGTTTCTTCAGCACACTGCTGTATCAAGTCGGTAAATCAGGGAGCTGCTTAAAGCTCCACAGCTTCTGCCGACTATGGAAAATTCCATCCCACTGTGACAAAACGAGAGGGAAATCAATATTTAATCTCCTGTAGCATCCCTTCTAATAATGCTATTGCACCCCCAAAGTTAACTGCTCTGCAAAAATGACTTGTCGTGATGTTTCTTCAGCACACTGCTGTATCAAGTCGGTAAATCAGGGAGCTGCTTAAAGCTCCACAGCTTCTGCCGACTATGGAAAATTCCATCCCACTGTGACAAAACGAGAGGGAAATCAATATTTAATCTCCTGTAGCATCCCTTCTAATAATGCTATTGCACCCCCAAAGTTAACTGCTCTGCAAAAATGACTTGCTCTGGTCTTGCGCTGCAGTGACAAAGTGGGCAGTAAGTCCCTGCCATGTTGGAGGGGCACATCTACAGAACTATTTGGGGCAGTTTTTCTTCCCTCAGCTGCACTTTTCTTCCCCATCCTCACATCCTTCTTTTTAGCAGGACTCTCTGGTAACATTATTCCCCCAAAATAACCTCCCTTAGCAGCTGCTTTAAAAAAATTTCTGCAGGCTGAACTGCATTCTTGCAGCTCAATTTAAGGAGTATCAAAAATTCAGATCTTACTGCTGCTTTAAAAAGATAATACTGGCCTCTGTGTTTCAGAATCTCATTAAGAACCAGCTTTTAAGTGGACTGCGTGAAAGTGTGATCTTGTGCCTTCAGTAGTGGGAAGGGATTATTAGAGGGCAGAAGCTGGAATTCAGCAGCAGATCTCTTATTAGTGGTGTGAGAGGAACTCCTGAACTCTTGGGCTGCCCCACACATAGAAGCCTCTGTTCTTGTAGGCAACAGAATTTAAAATAAGAAATGAAACCTTAAGAGCAAACGTGTGCCATCCTGCATACAAACCATCTAATGCTTGGTTTATTTTAATTCACTGGTGTGTTAGCTTTGTACCCTACAGGTTCCCTAGAAGTACAAGCAGGTACAGGGAGACCCTGTACCCAAGACCGAGTCAAATTGTGTGGTGCTACCATGAGAAGACTATTGGAGGATGACGGAGACATGGCCAGCGTAGATGTATAGGTCAGAGCTTGGTTATGACTGTCTGTCCACAGAACTAGAATACAGCTTAGACAACTAGATGTTGCATAAATTTTACCCCAGTAAAGATCTGTCATTGAGGCTCTGCCTGACAGACCGCAATTGAATCTTGAGATCAAGAATCGTACTTTGGCTTACTCTCATCATCCACTGAGGCTGACCCTTCCTCACAGCTCCTACCGTTACCTGCTCAGGCACCATTCACTGCTGAAGTCTCTCTTTGCTTCCTTTGAGAAAAAGGCATCCAGTAGTTTGTTTACAAGAACATCCTACAGCTGGCCCCATCACTTCCTATCAAACTGCACTGCCATAAGCCAAGTATGGCAACACCAGCTTCAACCTGGGGCTAAGCAGAGGCAGTTCCACCCCTTCTGGTGTCTACTTGTTCATTCCTTCCATGTCTGAAAAGCCTGCTGGAGAAATCAACCTACAAGGAGGAAAAACCCCAAACCTGTGGCACCCTTGAGCCATCAAACTAAGAGGCATGCATAGCCTCTTAGCACAGGAGATGATACTTACAGGTATGTCTGCTTGAACAAAAGGTTGGTGGGTTTTTCATTGACATGGTAGAGAGGAAATGGATCAAATCCACCAATGAAATCAACTGAAAAAAAATCAGAACTCAAATAAATAAACAAACATGGCCAGAAAGTTGAAAGGAAATGAAAGCGAAAGTTGGTGCATGTCATGGCATAACACAAACATCAGTGAGAGAACTGAAAAATGAGTTTTCGGGTATGGATTGCCTGGTGGATATCTCTGCCCCTACAGACCTCTTTTCCAGGGTCTCCTGGGATGGGCAAGTGTGCCAAAGAGGAGATTCAGGTAGCACGAGGCTTAAAGCAGAGCGCTAACAAAAGACTCCAGGAAAACAAGAGGGCCTTGCTCAGCCTCCTTGGATATTGCCAACATGCTGTGACTCCGTGTGAGAAGCGAGCTGGCAAAGCCTCAGCCCTTCAGCGATGCGCTGAAAGAAGGAAGCTGGGGAATGGCTTGTGAGTGAATGCCAGCGGAGAAGTTGGCAGCACAGCAATCCCCGTGAAGGTTATATAGTGAAGTGGGAATTTTCTTGCCCCACTTGTCTTTCCTGCAAGACAGACAACAGCAGCTTTGGAAAACTGCAAACACCTCATTATCGCCAGCTCTGATATTTTTCGCGTCCCCTCTGCCAACTCCATTTCTTTTAATTGTATACAAATAGGGACAATGCTTCCCTTCCCCAGCATTCGCGTAAGGGCAATGTAACGCAACGAGGGAAGTCTGAAGTGACAATTCCCATAGAAGAATTTTCCAAGTCTCTCTTGGTTCCCCTGAAATGAGGCCAAGCCTATGTACCGTGCTGGCCAACACAGCCAGGTCAGCAGGGGTATGACGTGGTGTGATTTGTGACTGACCTAGCAGGCCTTGCCTAAAACCTTTAAACCAGATCCAGCTTAGATGGCTTTTTGGTGCCAAGTTAGTGCATTTTGTGTGAAAGTGTGAAAGCTATCCGGTCCAAATGACATTCAAAAATAACTGGGGAGTCTTATTAACAATATAAATGCCTGGTTATTTTTCTTTCCTGAAGGTGGCACTATTATTTTAAATTTTAGCTAAAGAGTTCTGGTATGTTTTAGTGAACAAACAATAGGAAAAAATGTAGTAAATATATTGGAAGTAAGCAGGGAAAAAAAACCCCACCTCTTAAAATATATTTAGAAACCCAAGAACAATGTATTCTCACAAATTCCACCTTGATGGATCGCTTCATGCTGATACTGTGATTTTGGAACAACTGTCAGCTAGTGGGCAAAATCTGCAGAGGTTCTAAGTTAACTGGCGGGCTAATTCCCAGTAGTTCCAGTGAGACTTGGCCTTTTCTCAGCCACTTTTGGAAAGTAGTTTGTTTGAGTATCTTAAAATCGAGACAGTCTGCAGTTTTAAAAAACAGATACGAGCTGTATTCCCTCAGTTGTGGAATGTCTAAATTAGGAAACCTTAAAGAATTGCACTTTTCAGTAACTGTTTAGTAGCTTGAATGAACAAAAGTCGAATCCCTTGAGCACCCAGCCACGGAAGCACTCAAAATCCAAGTCACTTAAAAAAAATAATCTTAACTGTGGTTTGTGGTTTGTTGTTACAATATATTACAGTGCATTAGCACATCTAAAATATTCTTGCCCACAATTCAGCATGAGTAGATCTCTACTGCTGTGTTTTCTCATGAAAATCACGTTAGCATGAGCTTCCTGATTAACGTGCCTCAGCACTTATAATTACTTCATGCTGCATATCAAAGCAACATTTAAAGGAAACCACAAGTGGAAGAGAAAATTAAAACGCAGCTCAAATTTGTTCAGGTCACTGGAAGGATCTACCACTGTCAGTGTGAAATATTGATGGTTTATCATGGTTAATTATTCAAGCTGGCATTTTAACTCCAAGCTGGGAAACTGGGAGGGGAAAGGAATTTGTTAGTGGGGAAAAAAAAAAAAAAGTATCCTGAAAGTAAGGGCTCTGCATTTCTAGATAATGCTTCCTTCCATGTGGTTGCCTCTGCTAACAGATCCCTGCTATAAAGATGTTATTAATTTACAATATTCAAAAGGGGCTCAGAACTCAAGCTATTTAGCTAGTGGAAGAGCTATGGGGTAATTTTTAGAATATGATTTATAATGTAGCACTTTTGCTAGGTAAGTGCACTGCCAAGCTCTAAACAAATGATCCATCAAGTCAGTAGAATGAGTTCAGCCACACAGGAAGCAACAGGAAAACACAAGGACAAGTCAGAGAAGCAAATGCATCTCATCTCACTCCCACGACATCAACGTTCTTCACACACTTTCAAATATTCCGTTCAAAGCTGTTGTGTTTCAGCTAAAATCCAGAGCCAGCTGCTCTTTAAAACAACAAAACTACTTGCACAAACCTAATGAATGTCTTAAAGAAGCGATACTTGGATATAAAGCCTTTGGCTCGGATCCTTACCTGGGGTAAACTGGCCTAGGCCTATTGATGTCAGTAAGACTTTACTGATTCGAACATGCGGAGAATTCAAACACAGAAAGGCAACACATTGCCAAAGAAATCAGACTTCACATTTATTTTGAACCCTATGCGTCCGTTCTTTTGTTTGCAAACTTACTGCTTTCAGAGGGAGTTTTAGAAGGGCAAAGTAATCCAGGACCAGGTTCTAGATATCTGGATAGATCCCATGGACCCAACCGCCCCTGTGATTCCTCTCCGAGTCTTTGCTCTTCCCTGACAAGTGTCATGACACTTAGATATTTGTATACCAAACGTGAGAGGGTCAGCTCCTTCCTCCTCCTTGCAACTGAGATACAGTACTTCCTCTGCTTTTAAATTAAGTGGTCAGGTTGGTTCTTGGCAAGAAATCTCACGCTCTGCTTCATCCTCGGCCCATGGCATATGATACTCAGCAGGTGGCTTATTTGAGTACCAGGCCGTATTCTTTGTTGTAGGTGCTCCCAATTACAATGGCGATATTTCAGTGGCATTAAGCTATATAAGCTTGAGAACAGAAGCAGCTGCCCAGTTTCTCTAAAGCCTAGCCTGAGTGAGTAGCCAACTCTTAGCTTTTTGGGGGCTGAAAGAGTAGCAGAATTACGGCATCTAATACGTAGTGACATGGGGGAAAAAAAACCCTCACAGTAAAAATAGCTGATCCTTGAAAGGTAGGTAGTGCCATATTGTGTAGCTGGAGAGATGGAACTAAGTCTGATGGCAACTCTGTCCTGATAGACAAACATCTGAGAGAGATACAACATTTAATAAAACCTTTGCCAAGGGATCTGTTGACAAATACTTACAGCTGTCTTCTTCTTCTGTAAAAACACTAACAACGTAACAGGCGTAGACAAAGCCCACCAGCTGGAAAATAGAGAGAATAAATCATTTTAGTATCAGTCTTTTGAGACGGTCCAAAGCCACTTGGCACGACTTCAACAGCCAACGTTTACTGTCAACTTGGCAGCATTACTGTAATGGTGAGGCCAAATCATATTTGCTGTAAGGTAGGGGGTGCAGGTGTAGGCTTGAGGGAGAACACTACTGGGAGCATACGCAAAGGTCCAAACTAAAAACTTGCAAGACCCATCCTCACCTTCAGAGTAGCAGCCTGCTGCTGCTAGAACGATCGGCAAGAACATGGGCTTGCTTTGTTGACATTGAAACTACTGCGCTAACTTCACTCTCTGTAAGCTACCAGCAAGATGTGAGCTGGTTTTATGCAGATAAGATAGAAATTTAGTTAACCGTAAAAATGGTGATGTACTGGCAGAGTGTTCAGAGATGCTGAAATCTTCAGTAACTTAGGCTTGGAGATCAAAAATTCATTGGAAAGAAATCCCAGTCTTGCTCTAGCTCTACAATTTCTAAGGTTCTTTCTATCTTTGGAGAATAAGCACTTCTGCATGGACTAATCAAGCATTGGACCTGCAAAGTAAATGGGCCAGAGCAGGGTGAGAACCAGACAAGACGATAGCAGTGGCCTTAATTCACAAGCTGCATAGGCCAGCAGTAAATTGCCACCTCCTGGGAACCAGATAGAAGCAGGGAAGGAGCAGTAAAACAATAAGGTGCCTCTCAGATAACAGCTGTCCTGGCATGGTGTGGTCCTCCTGTCAACCCATTGCTCAGAGCAGTCTTTAGAGCAGAAAGCTAGAGTGAACATTAAAAAAAGCAATTTAAAGTAGCCTGGTGGGTTGGTCCTTAGCTGGTAGTTTGTAGAAACTCTAAAGCATCAGAACTGCCTCAGTCCACTGCAGTAGCGAGTTGTTACTCAGCCTGAATAGAGAAACAAACTTCTGGTACGACGGGAGTTAAGCATTCTAGACCCAGCGGGGCTTTATTTCACTTTGCCTTCTTCCCGTTAATCAAATATCCTCTCCATCCTTCATTTTACATCTTTACATAACACCCCACTTAGCGAGATCTTGGTTGACATTAACTGTATTAGTAAAGTTATTGCGAGACATAATTGTTTTCCACTGTGAACTCAATTCTTCTGAACAAGAGTTAGACTGTAACGCGCAGTGACTCACTCTCAGGGAAGACAGGATGATGCATGGGAGGGCTTGAAAAGTAGAGTCCATTCATTTTTAATATGACAGAAAAATACATCACGCCAGAAAACAAAAGGCAAGATAATGAGATTGCTACTGGGGAGTTATAAGGCATTCGTGATTTCGCCAGCTCTCCCTGACAAAACACACCTTGTTGGAAGGAAATGGAATGGGTTTGTAGCACCGCTAAACCTTGTATTTTCGTTACAATTTTCTATAATCGTCTGAAAGACAAGCCAGCTCGCTCTCCTTTCCCCTTGGGCGAGCCTTATGGAAGCACGTTCCCGTACCTCAGCGGAGGAGAGGCAGCTCTGCGCGCTCACTCCTTCCCCTGCTGCGCATTTTTGAACCCTGGGCTGCTTCATACTAAATTTGTGTGAGATTCAGAGGACTTCGGGGGGCGGGGAGGGGGGGCAGAATATCCTTCTAGGCTTGATGGTAACCTCCAAGCCACATGCAATGGCCAATCTAATTTTACCTGCTGACTTTTAGAATTGCCTCCGAGTACAACCATTGCTCTTCAAAGGCAAACAAACAAACAAAAACCCCAAAAAACACCCCCCCCCACCCCCCAAAAATCAGAATAATCAGAGGTTTTTCGTCTCTTCTCTATAGCTTGTAGTGTGCTAACAGAAAACCTGGGTTGTTTTTTTCTTCTTCCTGAGGTTTGGGGCAGTTTTGGGGGGCCGGCAGGAGGCTGCGGCCCCGGCCCGGGAACTGGCCGTGGTGCTGACGCAGCCCCCGAGGCGGCTCGCGGTGCCTTGCGTCATGAGCAGGCTGGGCTGCGACGTCAGCAATTAGCGCTCATCAGCTGGGCTTGGTAGCTACCGAGGTGAACACTTAAGGGATGCTCCTGGAAGAGCAGAGAGCTTCAGTTTGAAGGCGACCCAGCGCTCGGTGGGATGCCAGCCACCCCTCCGCACGCTCTGGTCCCCGACGCCAGCGCGTTTGCTCTCACCCCGGGATCAGATTAGGAGTGTGGTCGCACTTGCTCTAGCGTTGTAATAGTTTGATGAGCCAGCCTTTTCCATGATATAAGGTCAAATCACGCAATTTACGCACGCATAAATACCCAAGCATGAAAGATGCATCTTGCACGTCTCTCTGGAATCCAGAGAGACTCGAGGAAGGTTTTCTCTTTCCCCAGGTTTTCCATCAAGCCTCAGAGTAGGAACTTTGGGTTAATAGCCATGCAAATTGGCAGCCCTAAGTCCACTCACTGTCGTTATACTCTATAACGCGTACACACAAACCTTATACGATATCTGTGTCAGGGAACTCCTGAGAGTATTAACAATAAAAATGCCTTACCCGGGCAGAGCGCATGAACGATTACCAGCTCTACGGTCACAGGGAACCTCCTAAACCTTGGAAAATTGTTCACGGTTCAGAAGCACCAAGCGAGCAGTAAGATTGACTTGGGAAGTTTGTTTTGTACAGAAATTAATGCCTCATAACCCTCAACCATCATCTCTCTCCCCCATAGGTTTTTCCTTTTATGACCAAAGTGACCTTTTGCATTCAGAAAAGCAAACCAACCAACCAAAAGCTAATGAATGAGGTGAACTTCCCTAAATCTGTAATTCCAGCTCCATTGCAGTGGAGGGTTTTCTTTGTTATTTCTTCCATCTCCTGGCTTTGTTTCAAAATTACCTGCTTAGTGTTTAAAATTCACTTTTTATTGACTTTATGTTCCCTTCCCGCTTCACATGAGTTTTATCAATTAAGAAACTGTCTACTTAATGGCGCCTTTTACTCAAAGAAGTTTTGCTAATCTTGTGACCTGGCCAGAACAGGAGAGTTTCAGTGGCAAGGAGGGAAGAGACGTCCAACATAAACATGAACTGCATTTTTATATGGGTCAGCCTAAACTATAATTAAAGATATTGCCTCAGGGATGAAATTAACTCCCAGGACTCCCCCTGTCTCACCTTCTGCATGAATTATGAATGAAATGGAGCTACAGAGGAGAAATGCTGCTCCTATTGTCCAGTCCTTTTCACTGGAAGAGCCTGCTAGAATGTGGGATGAGCAGACTCCGAGGGACACCAATGGTTCCCTTCTGACTGCATCCTGGATGAAGATGTATCAAGCCCCCAAACATCACCAAGTTTAGCAGCAATTAACATTGAACAGAAAACTTCAGAGGCGAAGGGTTTGGAAGTAATTCCACTTTCGCTCACAGTGCCATCTTGGTTGCTGATTTCAGTATAAAAGAGGGTTTCGAGCTCTACCATCCCAGGGAAACAGCAATAACCCTTAGATCTTTGCAAGTTACGTAGGGGAGGTGGAAGAGGAGGGAAAACATCAGTGATGTAAAATGACACTAAGCTATTGCTCTAATTCCCCAAAGAACGTTCTTGGGCTGTAGCCTCTGCTGCTGTTTCTCTACTTGTTCTGCATGTTCAGTACCAGCTTCCTCCAGGCTGCAGAAGTATCCGATTAAGCTTTTTATTAGGAACACATGTTGTAGGCAGGTGTGTTCAGTCAGCCTGTCAGACAGCCTGGGAACACGCGTGATGCCGTACAAGGGATGGAGCTGGGATGTCCCAAGCACTCTGCAGGCAAATGAACAGAGCAGGAAGAGACAAGTGTGCCCAAAGGGAATGAGGAAAACATAAGTACATCCCTCTGCCCCTCAGTCATCGAGGTTAACTTTATAATAGCGAGTTGAAAAGTGTTCACAAAACAGCAGCATTGAACTGAAGTGCTGGAGCCAGAAAGACCGAGTTACAGCCAGATCTGGAAAAAGGGACCAGCTGGCTGCAAGCGTGCAAAATACGCAAAGGATAGGAAGGCAAATTTTAGGAGGTGTTACTGCTGCTTGTGTAAAATTTTAGCTTTCATCTACATCTGTCCTAGGAAGATTTTGGGCTCTTCAACTCTCCTCTCAATAGAAAAACTTGCCATGGGTTTTTCCACCACGGGGAACACGTGCAGAGTCTCCTCCTTCAGGGCAGATGTATTCTAGGTTTGCCGTCTAATCAGAGCTAATGAAGTGTGTGTGCTCTCATCAGCGTGAAAAGGAAAAAATGAAAAGATCTCTGCTACAAGAAAGCAAAAAGCCAGCTTGTGAAAGAGCTGTTGTGACCAGATCGCCAAAGAGAGGCGATTGAAACCCTTTGATTCCTTGACCTTCTTTATTCTTTGGATGCAGTTACGACCACTGAAAGTCTAGTTTCTGCCAACAGCAAAGCATCTCTTGCGCCTTGCCTCTCACATAACATCTGCTGTCAAGGCTTGCATTTCTGCCTTCCTGGGAACCTTCCAACCTGTCAGTCTGAGTGAAAACAGCAGACAGGCAGGCAATGAGTTCTCTCGGCTGGGGTTTCAATTTCCATCCCATTCAATGGAGCCTCAGGAAAAGCCTAACCCTCCCCACTCCCAAAACTACCATATGGACAGCCCAGAGCTATGCCAGGTATTTCAAAACTGGAAATCACTCCTCTCCCTGCTGGCTGGCAAGTTGAGGAGATGCAAGATGAATCCTTGCTAAGATAAAAACAAAGTAGATTTCGTTTCTCGACAAACGAGTTGCTGTTGCATTTCCCAGTTGGGTTGGTGGGAGTAGTTTTACACTAGCATCTCTGTAACAGTACCGAGTTTAAGATGTTGTTACAATAAGCTTTTTCCTCCAATTGTTCTGTGCTAAACCATCATGAAAAATTTTCTTGCTGGGCCCTACAGCTACTTGTATCATGCATGGTGACTGATACGCCCAAGTTTGATCGCATTCCAAATTAAAGGGTTTGCTCTTGCCTTCAAGGAGTACAGACAAGCTCTCAGCAAAAGCAGACTGAGACCTTCTGTATCTTCAAATGCCTGCCCAGAAGCAAGATAATATAGTCAGCAGGAGACAAGATGAGAGCCAACACTGCTCACCATATGGGCTCAGGTTCGCTTTCCCTCTCCTTTGGCATGCAAGATTGATTCAGTGAGCCTTACCCCAATGCACAATACAGCGCACTACAGTTCCTCCGCAGTCTCAAGGAATCGGTATTTCCAGAAAGCAACCAAAACATCCACAGCTGGGTACTGCATAGCTAAAGAACATGGATTGCACACTACCATATCTGGAATAAAAAAAAAACCAAACCAACCAAACACAACCTCCCCCACCTCACAACTTCTAAAAACCCCTAGGCAAAGCAAAAAGCTACAGGAAGCCCAACTTTGCCTGTCCCTTGCCCTTAGCAGGGAACTGCCTATTCTGGTGTCAAACGCGTGGCAGACAAGGAAGGAATGAGGTCGTGTCCCTTGCTGCATCCCCAGAAACTTCAAGTTGCCAGTCATGTTTTTTGTACCATCGATCTGGTGTCCCTGCCTGCCTGCAGTGCAGTACCTGCCAGGCGCTCCGGGAAGGACAGCGTCCTGTAATAAAATCTGCCTTAAAATGAGATAAAGAAAACAGAAAAAGATACTGTCAGGGATCAAAGAGTTTGACCCTCAGAGACTAAAAAGGGAGAGAACCGGCTGGCTGTTTTCAGGCAAGGTCTCAGTGAGAAAGCAAAAAGGCTTGCTTTCTGCCTTACCTCAGCAAAGCTCCATTTCTCCCACTACATGAAGAAATTCTATCTTAAGGGTGGATGTCACGAGGACAGAGCCTGGCTCTTTGCAGTGGTGCCCAGTGACAGGACAAGGGGCAGTGGGCACAAATGGAAACATAAGAGGTTTCAGTTGAATATGAGGAAAATCTTCTTCTCCAAGCCCTGGCCCAGGCTGCCCAGGGGGGCTGTGGAGTCTCCTCTGGAGATATTCAACCCCTGTCTGGACCAAGTCCTGGGTAACATGCTCTGGGTGAGCCTGCTTTAGCAGGGGGGTGGGACTGGGTGATCTCCTGAGGTCCCTTCCAACCCCTGCCATTCTGGGATTCTGTGATTTTTGTGCTGGCAGGAATTACAGGCCTGGGGCTTCCAATACTCTACCTTCATGACAGGACAAGTGGAAGTTTAGTTGACTCCACACAGCTCAGCCCATACAGCTTTCTTGCACACAAGTATTTTAGCCTCATTTCCTGGGGTAAGGATTCAAAAAAATCCACTGCAACTTAAATCTCCGGGAGAAGAAAAGAGAAGATATTTACCCAAATCCTACTTTATCTTACAGTTCCTTCCTCCGTCTCCCCATCTGGCCCTTTGTGGTGTTTTGCAGATGCACAGAGGATATCATCATGTGCCTTTGGGGAGAAGCAAAGGAGAAAACACTCCCAGAGACACAGACTGCTATGTGTCCGTGCGATCACTTAGCTCAGGGCCATGTGCTGCAAAAGAAAGGTCTATTCCAAACGAACTCAGGACCATTTGTTGGCTGAACCTCTAGCCTGGGGCACCAGGGCTCGAGGCAGCTCAGGCATTTGGGAAGGGTGCTAACAGTGGCATATTTCTGCACTTTAAGAGCCTGGGGTGTTCTGACTTCAAAGTCTGTCACTTGTTTCACCAAACTTGGGAACAGCACCAGCTCAGCAGCATCAACCCTGCTCCAGCTGACAGCCCTTTATCAAAGGCAGCAGACTCTATTCTTCTGGATGCACAGGTTTGCCTCTCTCGTACACGTGCATCGAAGCAACTCTCAGACAGTTTCATGGAGATCATTTTCCCTGAGGGGGAACTAACCAGGTATTAACTGCCAGCACACACACCGGGGAATCCATCCACCTTGGGAAACAGGAGCTTCTCTGTCACCTCCTGTTTGTGCATGGCTATAGAGGGCTCCGAGTCCTCCCCCTCCCTGCAGTTCACTGGGTCACACAGGCCATCCCAGCTAATAGGAAAAGCAGGATCAAGCCAGTGGGAAGTTGTACCAAAAACGTGCAGAGAAGTACTTGGCACTCCAGAAGCTTAGAATTTCTCTATTTGTTATCCTTGAACATTCAATCAGGGCAAGTTGCCCTTCTTTAAGCCAAAACTGAAAGCTGGAACGTGAACGTTTCACCAGCCCACGTCCACTTGTACTCAAAGCCATTAACCACAAAGTAACGAACCAAAGCAGATCAGAAAGATGCAGCCTGCAAACTCTAATGCAAAATGCAAGAGCACCAACAAAGCAAGCGGGACAGTGGACAGTTTGGTTCAGTTATTTTCACAGGCAAGTGAGAAGCAATTAATTAACAGTGACCATCACTGCAGAGTACTTTAAAAAGCATGTGGAAGACTCCAGGAAGGAAAGAGTCGATGAAAACATTTAGTGCATATATCTTAGGTGTCAGCAGAAAGAGGATATGCTGCCTTCTGCTTCCTTAAAGTTCCTTTCATTTTGTGGAGATAAGGATCTTCTCCCTCTTATTTCTTCACCACAAACGTGCACATATGTGCTCCGTCACCCATCACTAAGTCTCATGGAATAAGAGAAAGCCTTCTTCAGAAGAGCCTCTGTCCTTGTCAAAACATGAATTTCCACACCCCAACGGGGATACAGAACGATTTGTTAGGGTAAGGTTGCATGTGATGCAGGTGTTAGGTTGCTGGTATCCATTTCCAATTCTTTAAAGCAATATTGTTCATAAGAGAGAAGAGGCGAACAAACAAACAAAAACCATTTACAGAGGCTTTTGCAAGCAGAGGCTACAAAATGGGGTGGAAAACATGGGGGGGAAAAAAAAAACCCAAACCAAAAAACAAACAGCAGCTCCTCAGCAGTTGCTGCCCCACAGCACTCTCAGCGATGTACTCACCGCGATCAGGATCTGGAAGGAGCTGTGCATGACCTCGATGTACCGATACTCCAGGGCACAGCCTATCACAGAGATGTAGGAATGGCTGTCCAGCCCTTTGATGCCAGGCATCGAAGCCTCCTTCCTCACACAGCCAGGACCGTTTTCACTCCACCATGACTGGTGCCGGGAGATGTTGAATGTCAGGAGTTCACTGTCCTAAAGAGAAAAGTTGCAAAGAGATCTCCATTTACTATAAGAGCGTCTGATATGCTGTCAGGTGGAGGTCATGTTAAAATCAACAGAAAAACTAAAGTTTCTAAGATCCCCACCCTCAAGAAACAATAGCAGAGATCAAAATACATTGGCTTGATGTTCCTTAGAAGTTTATCACAGGTAGGTTTCTGTGGTGGGAACCATTTCTGAGGCAGTCCTGCAGCACCCCAACAAAGCTATTTCACCATCACGTAGCACACTTCAGAAGCAGGACTGAGCAGCTTCCAAAGCAGAAAGACAGTTTCTAGGCTGCAGACCCAAGAACACTTTGTTAGTGGTTCCTGCACCCAGAAAAACCCCTCAAGTTTTGGGTTTGGGAGATTAACTTCGCAAATCTAGAAGAAAAAGGGAAACAAGGCAGCACTAAGCATCCTGAACGAATCACAGGTTGTGGGTATGCTCTTCCCAGCATGGCAATCAACACAGATAACTGAGAAACATGAACTTCACCACCCTAAAGTGAGTTTCAAAACCCAGATGATCTTCCTCTGTTTCTAGCTTTTAACACATCTAACAAGTTCCCTTACCATTTCTGTCTGATTTCCTTCCACGCTCTTCACACACGGTGCTTCTCCACCTTCTGTAGACCTGACACTGTCAGCCTAGGTCGGATTACCCAGCTGAGCTGACCTCACCCTGATGGTTGCAGCTTCTTGCAAACACTTCCCCAGCAATTCCTTAGCATCTCTACCCCTGGAGCGGCTTCTCTTTTGCTCCTCTCATCTTTGCCAGTCCAATAATTTAAACCATGCCACCGTGGGGGTCACATAGCGAAACGCCACACAAGTAGTGCAGGAGGTTGCAACCAGGTGCTCATTTAAAAATGACAGCGCTTCCCTCACACTCGAGAAAAGAGGGGTATCGCTGGAGTACCTGGGAGAGCTTTGGGATTTTGAGCTTACAGGGCAGAGCAAAGCCCTCCTTGCAGATGGTGAAAGACAAACTCAGAGCTGGCCGAGCAGATCAGCTGCATCACTTCACGGATGAGTGCTAAGTGCCAGGCGCCCCGGCAGCCCTCTTGGGTCATTTTGATGCCGAATTAGCAACCCCTTCTGACCATAAAACAAGTTTTATTAAGAATAGATTATAAATTCTCAAGCAGAGAATCTACGTGTCTCCACAGAGTAGAAATGGGTACTGGATATTCGCATCCCACCTAACCATTACTGAAAGTTTTAGCACCTATCCATATCCTACTTCACACTGCTCACGCCAGGGTCCTGCACAGTCCCTGGAGGAAAGAAGCGGCTCCCAGAAGAGCAGCAGTCAGAGCTTGGGCATTCACACGTCCTTACGTGGGAATCCTCACATGGCAGCTCCTTTGCTTCAGCTCCCTGTGGAGTCAAGAGGGAAAACCAGATTCAGAGCAGCTAAGCCAGGCTCCTGCTCCGAATTACCCTCTGGAGAAAGGACCTGTCCCCACTGCCAGCACAGGGAGCCCAGCCGGGTAGCCTTGCAGACACACTTTTCTGTGTCCGTGTCTGTATCCAGGGGCAAACCCGAGTTACAAGAGCAGAACATCTGCACAGCAGCCAGAAAACCCTGTGAATAGAAACCGAGCGCCTCGCTGTACGCGTTGTGTAGGTACCCCCCACCCCACCCCAGATCCTCAAAAACGGTTTGCAGAGCTGTTATTAAAATGTGCCGCGGGAAGCACATGTTAAGAAATGTGGACAATTAAGTGAGGAGGCAGCTGCCAAGCTCCTGACATCACCACCACAACAGATGGGATGTGTTGGACAGTAGGTGGAGGAGGGCACGGAGAGGAAGGATGGCACCGGCGCAAAAGCAGCCTGAACAGCAAAGACAATAGGGAAATCTCTATTAACAGTTGGGAGTTTAAAGGGAGCTGTCTGCATTTTAAAAGCTAGGGGGAATAATTATTCGATTGGCAGCGACAGGATAGCGCACACAGTGCAAGGTGCTGGGCTATCTACATTTCTAGAGGCGGTTTTCTCTTCCAACTTCCCACTCTTTTGGCAGAAGCCTCTTTGCCTTGCTCCCTCTGCTGGGCATTGCTCTTCGGTGGCTCACAGATACCTCGCATATCCACCAAATCCCATCTTTTCTGCAAAGCTTGTTCTTTCCCTCCCAAGTTTGCATGTTCTGAGACACATGGATCTTCCCCAGCAGAAGCTTTTCCTCCTGGGGGCAGCCAGCCCTCCGAGCTGCTGTGCTCCTCTCCTTCTCACAAACCACTCCCCACTTTGGTGAGGGAAGGAAAGAACCATCTTTCACAAAAGAAAAAAAAAAAAAAAAAGGACTCAATTCTTATATCTTTGCCTGGGGCTTCCCCCAATTAGCACAGACACAAAGCTGGTCCACAGGACACTGCAGGATCTACTCTTAACCTCGGTCCCCAGGGCTTCCCTCTCCCAGCTCACAGATGGTGCCTTCCCAAACCTTCTGCCTTCCTGGCTCCAAGAGCCCCTTCCACACCTTCCCTACTCCTTACAGAGGCATCTACGTGTATTTGGCAAAGTAAGAAACAGGCTGCTTTCCTTCTCGAATCTCCCTTTTTTATAGAATTGGCTGTGGCTTAACTTTGCTGCAGAAGCTGAAGTTGCTCGGGAATTAAACCCGAAAATGCAGAACGGGTGCTGGGCTGGAGGTAGGCAGGTGGGGAACAGTAGGTCCTAACCAGCACTGCCTGCTTTTTGCCTACAATCACACTCCAGTATTGTGAAAAAAAAAAAAAAAAAAAAAAGAAAAAATCATACTTCAGTTAAGAACAGATTGGAAAAACTGAGCACATTTGGATTCTAAAAGCACCACAGCGACTCGCAGACATGAGCCATCCATCTCACAGATGTAAACCGCATACTGATCGCACCCTGGGACTGCGGATGCCCTCGGGTTCAGAGACGCCTCCCTGAACAAGCATCGGCCTAGAGCACCGCAGGGCACGAGGGCAGCATGAACGAAAGGGTCACAACAGCCAGAGCAATGCCGCTCCTTCGCCCGTGTCCCTGGCTGCCTGTCCTTGGAGGATACCGGCACCGACGGGGCACAGTAAAAGAGCATTCAAGAAAAAAAAAAATCACTTAATTGACCTCCAATTGCTCAGTGCTTGCTGGGAGAGTGGGAAAAAAAAAAAAAAAAAATCCCCGGATGTCTCCTGTGGTTTGCCCGCTTCATTTG